TATTGTATTTATTATTTTTGTCCTTACTATTATTATTATTGTTATTTTCTAAATTTGAATACTCAAACNCTTTTTAATGACGAATTAACCCAATGCTTTGAAAGTAACCATAGTATTAACAGACTTGTGTGTGCGTGTGTTAGTGTGTGCGTGTTTGTGTGTGTGTTTGTGCGTGTGTGTGTCTCGAAATAGTTTAACAATTCGAAAAGTTATTTTTTCATGCCTTTGTCTTTTACATTTTTTTGGTACCTTTCATTCAATTTTTCTTTTTTTATCTTTAATTTAGTACATCTGTCTATCAAATGTGTGTGTGCGTGTGTGTGTATGTATTTGTACGAATTTGTGCGTGTGTGTTTGTGTGTATGTATTTGTATGAATTTGTGCGTGTGTGTGTGTGTATGTATTTGTATAAATTTGTGTGTATAAGTGTGCGCGTTTGTTGATTAGTGTGTTTTGAATGTGTGTATCTGTGTTTTCGTTGGAAAAGATCTTTTGCGTGTGTGTTTGTTGTTTGTATGTGTGATCACGTCTGTGTAAGTTTATATAGAAATATGGGAATCGTTGGTTGGTTGGTCAATGGGTTGGTTGATTGATTGATTGATTGATTCTGCGGTTTTTTTTCACCAGCTTAGCTTTTTTTAAACTATATACACGTATGTAATATAGAATGAATGTATGGGCTGATAAATGAATGAATGAATTTATGAATGAATAAATGGATGAATGAATTAATGTTTAAATGAATGATTGGATGAATAAATGTAGGAATGAATTTAAACTTATGATTCCAAAATAATATTCAACTTTTTTTTTCTTTTTTAGTTTATTTTGTTCACTGACTTAACTTTTATTTTATTTTGATTCGCTTATCTTTGAAAACGAATATAGATTTATATATATATATATTTATTTATTAACATTTAACTAATAATATAACGATTTAAATATGTATAAATAAATAAATATATTTATATGTTGGATGGAGACCTTATTTTATACAGTATTTTATGAATTCTACCTAATTGTTGGCATTAGTTTAAAGTTTGTCTTTTCAATTTTTCTCACTAAAATTATCTGGAAATTGTACAATCTATCGAAAATAGAGTTATCCGAGTTCATCATAAAAATTTAATAGAACTGTTTTCATCCAAATTCATCGGGCAGGTAGGCCTTATTTCGGTTTTTTACAAACCATCTTCAGTGCAGGTTTGGTTTATATAGTTTCTTTAAACAAAGCAAAGTTAATTCTTTAGCAAAGTGATTTAAATAGGGGAATTGTTACATTTCTCAATATTTCTATCCAAACTCTTGTCGCCAATGTTTATTTAATAAATAATGACGACAAGAATTTTGTAAGAAATATTGAGAAATGTAATAAAAAAAAACTATCCTACGCCAGAAATTCGGTAGATGTCATAAATTACTGCATTAGTTAAGGTCTTTCAACAGCATATATATATATATATATGTGTGTGTGTGTGTGTGTGTGTGTGTGTGTGTGTGTGTGTGTGTGTGTGTGTGTGTGTGTGTGTGTGTGTGTGTGTGTGTGTGTGTGTGTGTGTGTGTGTGTGTGTGTGTGTGTGTGTGTGTGTCTTATTGTATATTAATCATATTAATAAATAATTTATTTGTTCTGATTATTTTTCTTAATTCCTTTCGTTGTTTATTTTTCCTTGGTTAAAAAATTATTTTAACGATCTCTTTTCTTCGGTTAAATCAACTTCAAATTTGCAAAAAAAAAATGGCTGGTTATATATTTGTAAAATGTAAAAATATCAATTTGCTATGACTTTGTGTCATTTCATGTTGTCATCTTTTCGGTTAACTTCCTCATATTCTAACCTTTTCAATGAAATTGATTAGTTCTAGATGGCTATATATGGAGTTTCGACCGAAAATTAGCCCATTTCATATTTTTCTCAAGTTTTGTCTAGAAGCATAAGGGAGTTACGTTACATATACGTAATATTTCACGTGTTACATGTTTCACTGAGATTCATCATGGGTCAGATGCGTAGTGATTAAATATTGACACAGAAGTTTCAAGATTTATATGTAGCTTTAGCTAAGCTTGAATGCTATAGTTCGGTTCTTACTGAGTTCGACTAAGGTCCAGCGTGTGTATATGTAGATTAAAAGATAGATTCTTAAGAAACTTTGTGAATTTGATTCTAGGAGTGTCGACATAGTGATGCTGTGTATGATTTTATGATTAGCTTCATTTTATTTTCACAACCCAAAGCTTTGTGACTTTTTAGATTTTTCAAAAAACATTTTTGAGAAAATATGTCAAATAAACAGATAGTTTATTTAGACAAAACGCAAAGAATATATAACAGTGCAATTAAAGTTAGATGGTGCTCACAATTGATTAGATAACATGTTTATGTCAAAAAATTTGTCACAAAATATGCTTGTTTTTAAAAACATTTCATTTAATAAATTCTAAATTTTGCGTATTTCAATTGGAATACATTTTATATATACATCTTTCTAAACGTCAATCTCACATAGAAAACTTTCAGTACTTGCACACTTGTCGTTGTACATGCCTGCCGATCTAGAGACCCAGTGAATGCAGTCAACGCCGGTGTAATTTTTCGGGTAACCGCTGTACCAGAACAATTCTTTAATCGGAAAGCGATGTCCTTTTTTTAAAATAAAGTCATTAAAGTTTTTCAATTCTTTTTTCAGAAGAATAAAATTTTCGACAAGAGTCTAAACCTTTAACGTATAAATGTGAGCAAACATTTTTTATCGGGGGAAGGCTTAAGTTAAAAAAAGTTTACGGTCCTTTTTGCTTATTCCAACAACAATTCTTCTAATTAAGTGTGAGAGGTGAGGTGATACTTTTTTCAAGTAACTCTTACAAAACCTACCTCTTTAACTATGTTATTTATGTCTCTAATAAAATTAAAAACAAAACATGGATGAGTGTTTTTTTTGGAGTAGCTATCGTATAACTTGCCTGGATATGGCTCCCAAAAATAAGTAACAGTCCCGTTGACCATCGTACGAAATCCAGCCGTCCAGGAATATGCGTAATCTGTATTTTATTTTTTTTAATATTCTGTTTATCATAGTCTGTCGGACGCAGAAAAATGTAGCAACATGCAAGGTATGAAACGATGAAATATGAATTTAAAACGGATAAAATGAAATATTACAAAGAAAATATTGGTGAAGACAGGTGGAAAAAAATGGATGTGATTAACACTTAAATTATTGTTACTGCAGTTAGGCTACTCTCGAAAATGTTAATTTGACAAAATTGAAAAAGGGTAAAATTTATTCTTGAGTTATATTGTTCTTGAAAACTTTTAAAAATTTACAGTTAATTAAAAGACTTAAAACTTGCTATTGTCAGGTTTAGTAGTTAAGTTATAAAAAATTCACGATAAAATTCCGATGTCAAACACTCAAAATTGACCTTTTTCATAAATGTGTTTAAAACATTACATGCAATCATATCATTAGATGTGACAAATTCTCAAATTTCATTTTTGAATTTTTCTTTCTTACAGATAAAAATGTTTGAAAGACGTAATGTTAAAATTTTACAACCTATGGAACAAAACTCACTAGCAATGGCAGCCATAGAGTAGAGCCAGTTTAGTCTATTTTCAATAGAGCTGTCAATGATCACTGGATGCGAGTAAAATAGGCCATTGCAGAATTTCCTAGAGTTATTCCAGGACAGTACTTGATTTTGGTACTTGTAACATTTGTGACCTTCTATTACGTAATCAAACTCGGGTGGACATCCTTGTTGAATTGGTTATTTTTTTTGTTATGTCGATGAAAATTTTTTAGTTACGCGGATTTTAGTTGCGAAGCGCTAAAACCAGGACCTGATTCCACAAAAGAGGTAATACAAATTTAAATAATTTTCCGTCAAATGTTTGTCGGAAAACATTGATTTTTATGAAGAAACTGTTTAAAAAAGTCAAGTCGGTTTAAACTAAGGTGGGTATCAGTTTTTTAAAACCCAATATGGTCTGCTCAAAATTATGAAAACAAGTTTTTCCTCTACTAAAAAATTAAGAAACTTCATTTTTTCGTTTCTTCTGGAAATTCCACACTTTGAAATTTGGCCCTAGATTTTCAAAATTGCCAAAAAATTATGTTAAAAACTAACTATGGCTGACAAACGCAAGACATCCACCGGTGAGACTGTTAGTTACTTTGTAGCTTATTTTCTCTATTAGAACACATGAACAATCTCCAGAGGCTTTCCTAAAGTTGATTCCGCGTAGGTTCATTTTCGTCGTCTTCTAAAATTTGGTGAATTAAAAATAATTCTTTTTTAATTTTGAAGAATCAAAAAAAAAATTGGTAGCCGGTTTGAATCTTTATATTTAAATTGGATAAAATAATGTAACATTTGTTGTATTTGAAAAAGTTATAGAATTTCAGTGTTGGTGTTTGTTTACAATTTTGTTATATAAAAAAAACAATACATGGCAATTGTAAATGCAGCTGGCAATTGAATTAGCCTTCAGTTTGATGTTGATGGGCATGGCATCATCGAAACAAACGAGGGTTTTTCGTTGTCCAGACACTAGATAGCTGTATGCCCTGAAGAATATTTCCATGTTTACTTGCTGTAGTTGGTAAGAAAAGCTGAGAAATGTGAAAATGATTATTAATTTGAAAATAAATTTATCTTGAAAATTCATTTTTATAATTTGGATAAAAAATTTCCAAGCAGGATTGTTATGCCGTGCAATCTACTAAATTGAATGTTAAGAACGTGAAGGGACTGTTAAGCTTGAGGCATTTGGTTATATCCAGGGTCTAAAATTTTGCGTCGATAAAAATAAAAACATTTTATTTGTGAATATAATTTGTATCGAGAAAATTTCTTCTTTGTAGAGTTTGTTGAAAAATTTTGAAACAAAAATTCTAACGTTTTAAAAAGCAACTGGTCATTGAATTGGAACATACCTTTGTATTGTGAGGAATTTTTGCAAATAAAATGTTGACATTTAATTTTAAAATTAATATGAATAAAACATACATACTGCGCTGATAAAATGTTAAATTTTACAAAGAAAACATGGGAAAAGTAAATAAAATAAACAGCTAAATTAGGCTTTTGACTTAAGTTAATAAGCCTTTTGGCAGTTTGAAAAATTGTTTTTTTTGGGGGGTGGGAAGTTTTGCATATTTTGTTCACATCAACATTTTAATATTCACAAAAGTAATAATAACTAAACATCACTAGGAAAACACAACAAAATAATAACTTGTACCAAAGAACTTATTGAGTTTGTTCAAAGCATAAACGCATCGGTGCGCAAAAGTGGAAAAATTATTAAACTGTCGGATATGAAAATAATTCACATTTCAAACTCTCACGCTCAGTCAGATGATTATTTTTGGTCGAAAATTTTTTTGTTAATCATGTTTATTTAATAAATAACAATTCAGATGCTGTTTGTTGAAAATATATTGTTTTCAAATACACACATATACATGCATAACATACACTTCTCGTACACGTAAAACACATAAAAACACAAACAAACACACACATGCATGCAAACAAACTCGCAAACACACACGCACATCCACTCTTTTGTTATCCTTTTTTACTATATTTTTAGAAATGTATATTTTCAGAAGCGAAATTTTGAGATTTTAATAAGAAAAGAATTACATATTTTTTAGTCGAGTAAACTTTTTGTATTAGTTGTTTGTTAAAACTCATGCAATTTCATGCAATTGGTCAGCAAAATATCTTTAGACCGTCGACTTCGTCATCGGCATCACTGTCATTACCTATAGACTTATCAAAAGTTTGCTTGAAACTTGAATGGATGGGTTTTTTATTTTTTATTTTTATTTGACGCCCATATTTTTACAATTAAATAATTTAATTTAAAAAATGTGAATTAATGAATAGATGGAAAATTGCTTAATGGTTAAAAATATTTTTAAATTTTGAAACTTCATGTTCATCATTTCACAGGAATATAATCGCAAAAATTCATGCTCGATCAGACTAATTTGTATATTTAAATTTTCATAAATTTTAATATTGCAATAACCAAATTTTTCGAACAGATGTTCTGTGAACAATTCAAATAACTCAACTATTCAAGTTTATTCTAGTCAATCCAGTTAACTTTACCTCTTACGGGTTTGCTAAAATTCTGCCAAAATAAAACACTTTTAAAAACATTTTAAAATAAAAACCCAAAAAGACTAATATGTATAAATATATGTACTAATAGTTGCGTTTAACAATCATTTTCAGAATTTCAGAAAGAAAAAGAGAGAGACAGAGCTCGATAGAGAAGGAGAGACTAAAATAAAAAGAACAAAAAAGAGAGAGAAGGAGAAAGAGAGAGAGAGTTGAGTCAATTTTTTGTGGTATAATAAAATAAGTAAGCCGTATTTTCCAACTTACGTGGAAACCAGAAGAATTTTTTCCATAGACAGAAAAATGTTTTTGCGAATTGTAGTGCTTTTATCAGTTATTTTTTACTTTGCTGAGTCGGTCAGTTATTGGAAAAAAGATGGGTCTGTTGAATTTTATTTCAATGATGTTAATAGTTTTTAATTTTTGGTTTTAATTATTTGACAAAGTTGATTTTTTCAATTTAAAGACATTTTAAATTATTCAATTTACAATAAAATGCATTTTGTTGTACCCAGAAGTTATAGTTTTACTCTGTGCAGAAAAAATAAAAATTTATGTCTAGCAGTACGTAAGGAACCTTTCTCCTACATCTTAGCATACAACATACCAAATGCAAATGTTTCAAACTACAGAAATAGCAAGCTGGAATTTCTGGAGGGTAAATGAGTTCGGACATCTGGTGTCAATTTTCAACAACATGGGAATTAATGTGTGGCTCATTTATTTTTATACACTTTATCAAAACGAGTAAATATAACGCTAGTAAAAATACAATGAAATGGTAACTTGAAAAGTTGGAAGGGAATGCAGGTTATGTTGCAATAAAGAACAATGAAATTGTATTGAGACTTTACCACAACAGCCTATCCGTAGGAGAGGTTGTGTTGATGGCGATTTTAAGTGCTGTTTCTGATACGGATGAGGTCTGGGTCGGTACATCTTTCGAAATTACTTCATGCAATGAATACGCCATCCAATACGAGCATAATCTTTTCAAGTTTGTAAATTTTCATGTTTTGGAAGATAAAGATGGTTTAAAAAATATTACATTTTTTATTTTTTTTTTCAATCAAATTTGAAGGTATATTTTAAATGACACGATCAAGTTCTGCACGAATAAAACAGAAAGGGGATCTGTAATCTGTTTAACTAGCGGAGCAAAAATAGAATATAAACCCGAAACTGGCAATGTGGACCAAGAGTGGGTGATCAACGAGCACGGTTACTTAATTTATTTTCTGTCCGTTTATTAGATTTTAATTTAATTTCAGTATTTTATGATTCACCTTTACATAAATTACACAAATAATTTAGATAAACAGTATTTTAGCAATGACTTGCTATGCATTACAAGATTAATTTTAAAGCATAATATTGCATTAAGTGTTAAAACATATTTTCTGGCATCATAAATCAAAAAAATTTCATGAAATGAATATGCCATCCATTTTTTGGAAATTGAAAATTAATTCAAATAAATTAAAACTCAAAGAAACGCCCTAAAGAACAAATCTTTCAGCATTTGTATAAAGGACCTAGACTCAAAGACAGAATCCGAACTCTGCTTGACAGCCAACGACTACTCCAACGACAACTCCATCAAATACCTACCAACCTGGTACGGAAGCTTTCAACAGCAATGGTTCGTAAATGAATACGGTTTTTTGGAGTCGAGGCATATGAACAACTTTGGCATAGATGTCGGGAATGATTTCAAATGCAGTTTTGTTTCCCTTTACAACAGGTCGTCGTGTAAGTTTTTTTTACTTTGTAATCACAAAATTCTAGATAATCGCTGAAATAAAATCTTATAAAAAAAGCTTACGAAAAAGCGAGTGTCGATCTAGCTTTGGTAAAATTTGAGCCGAATAAGAACACAATGAGATAGACATTGGATGAAACAGGTAGAGGTATCGTCAATAAAGAGTTGAAACTTTCGGTAAACTATGCCTTGGTGAAGAAATGTCAACCGAGTGATGAGGATGTGGCTACTTATGAAACAGTAGCTACCTATGACGTTGGGTCAGTTAATAAATATGTCGGGGTGAATAGTTGCCAGAAGTCCAGTGAATGCAAAGAGAGAATTTTTAATTTCAAGAATTCGTAAAAAAGTAATTAACCATTTTTAATTTTTTGTCAGTTTTAACGAGCCTATAGTTTTAATTATTTTGTTGAAATTTTTGGAATTATAGAATATTAGCTTTTGAAAATAGCTCAACAGAGATGCTTTACAAATCCACAATGCAATGCAATTAGTTACATTAAATGAAATATGAAAAAAAAACTTTCAAAAAAAAACAGTCTCAGCAGTTACAAGACATTCGAAAACTTTGAACAGTGTTTCAGCGATTTCATGGGCTTTGGGTTATTCTGTGTTGAGAAGCTGCCCTATGCCAATAAAATTTACCTGATTTACTCTAATAAAAATTCGCAAAGACCTGCACTGTGGTATAAAAATCCTAATGGATATATTCTGTTGGAAAACGAAAACTTCGCAATCGATATTGCTGAACCTGTTGATGTCTTTTTCAAATACGACGTTCTTCTCAATAGAGTCAATTATAGCGGTTAGGATACTCTTAATTGGAAATAACTTTTCATACTTATGAAAAATTTTTATATATTAATTTTAACAACAATAGTCAATTTTATTGCTGTTAAAATATGTTAAAAGTATTAAAAAACATTAAAACTTAAAAAATTTGAGAATTCGTCATAAGAAGCATAAAAAAATTGCTTCACAACATACATGTTGTATGTATCATGTATGTATGATATCCAATAGAAGCTTTGAAAGGTTCAGATGAATTCATTTTCAAATGAAAAAGATTCTTGTTGAGCAATGTTTGCTTACCGCAATAAAATTTAAATTTTGCTCTTGTTATAATCAATTAATCTAGTTTTTATTACACCTTATTAAATATATCAGTGAACATTTTTATGACAGATCCCATAAAAGCGAACTTACTAAAAGTCGTTCCGTATGATCCGTCGAAAGCTTCAATGAAATGGAAATTGGATTCATCTGGAGAATTTCTATGCAACGACGAGTTAAACCTGGTAACTGGAGTAGCGAGTGATATTTATCCAAATAGAGACTACGCTCTTCTGGTTGCTTTTAGCAGAAATCGCATCCCAAATACGTACAAACAGTTTTACACGTTTCGCAATGTTACCGATGATGTTTGGTCTTTTCTTGAATCTTTGACAAAAATTTAAAGATAAATCTGAAATTGAATAAAATTGGCATGAGTTATGAAAACCTTCAATTCTAACCCTTAATATATTAACTTTTTGGAAAATTATTTGTTTCGGATTGGTTAACCCTTATATTAGATAATACAAATATTTAGAAGAAACTATATTTCTAAAGCCTTTGATCTTCATTGGACATGTTGAATTACTATAATGAATATTCAACATAACTAATCATGAATATTAATAATATAAATATTTTCAATGTAGTAAAATGTTGTGTTTAATTAAAAAAATAAAAAATACATTTGAAAAATGGATAAAGCAAAACTGAAATGCCTTAGTTACTCTACCTAAAAGATGTTTGTTAATATTTCATTCAAGTTTAATACTTCTCTTATTTAACTCAAATACCAAAGTGTTATTTTACACTCATAATATAAGTAGTTTAAAAATGGAAAAGGCTTTATTAATAGAAAATAGAAACCCTGTAATAAACATCCAAACAACAGACAGTAACGATACTACCAACAAAGAAATTACCCACACAAAGAAACAATGGGACTTAGAGTTCCTTTGTTAAAAATATTATAAATACCCAATGAACTACATATAACAATATCTCTAACTCTATTTACACTGAAGATGGTAAAGGTTACCGAAAAAAGCTTTTATGTAAGTGTTCATATCAAAAATGCAGTCTAAAATATTTAAAATTTTATTATTAATTAAAATAAATTGAATAATATCGATAAAATAATTGTTCGAAAAATTGAAAAACTTAGTAGCAAACTCAACAATGTGGTGATATTTCTTAATAACTGTATATACGACAATCTGAACCCAAATACCTGTATATGTATATATATATATATATATATATATATATATATATATATACATTTTTACAATATTCTATAAATTCTACCGAATGTTTGGCGTTAATATGTTTGTAGTTCGTTTTTTCAATTTTTCTCGCTAAAGTTTTTTGGTGACCGTTTAGTAAAAATTCGAAAAAAATTTAAATATGCAAATTCAACGATTGCAAATTCGAATTTGAATTTAACATTTACGCTTTAAGAGTAGTCACGTTTTAAATACTAATATTTAAATTAAATTTGAATTATTTAAATCATATTTTACGGAATAAATACGCATTAACTATAATGGAAAAACATCTGTTCTTTGCCTCGTGTTATTGAGGACGGAATTCCATAACCGAACACTGGAGTAAGTGAAGTTATAACTATTTATCTATTAACAATTTAATTAAAAAAATTTATCTTTTTAGCTAAATTCATTTGTGCCAAAATATCATATTAAAAAAAGAGATTTTTTATAATGTTTGGTTTTTCATGTTTCATTTTTAACCACAAATCAAGTTTAAATTGTAATTAATTTGTAAAAGCTTTGAACAATAATTGAAAAAATATATATCTCTGAATAAAAAAATTTACTTAATTATAAAATAATTCATCTTCATAATTTCTGTGTTTAAAATCATTTATTAAAAATGAAAAACATCGATCACTGCAGAGGGCCAACTTTTCTTCTAAGTCTGGTGAGCAAAAGCTTAGGAATAGATGTTTCAACAAATTCAATAGTTTTAGCTAGACCAAAATATAAAGGCAAAAATGTTTATTTGTGGAAATTAAATGAGCACAACTACCTGGTTTCAGCTGAACTATTTAATTTTGGTCTAGACATCAAACCTCCAGCCGCTTGCTCGGCAACGTTAAATCTTAGCCAAACTACAAATCGCGAGTATCCAATCTACAAACTTAAAGCGGAGCTATTTGACAGCGCGAGAAAAACTATGAAATGGAGTGTGATTGATTACGAGCGGAAAAAATCAAAAAGTAATAAGACTACAAAAATTTTTAACAAAGAAATCAACTCAACGATTTTTCACATCACCGAGACAGTTCCAACAGCAATGGCCATTGCCGAAAATTCAACTCGTAAAACTATTTTTCGAAACCGAAAAGTAAAGATTTACATAGATTATGATAACACAGTGGAACGTTGTGATGATATAATTACCAATTTTGAACGCGGAGCTCTAGGGTAAAAGTTGATTCTACTCTAAATTTATTCTAACCTTACCGTCTATTTATTTATTTACCATCAATTTATCCAAAACTAGTACAAATTTTTAATTACAATCATTCAAAACCTAATCAAACCAGGCGTTTGTTTATTAAGACATACACGTCCTGCCGCAAGATACCTGGCGTAAGTAAAAAGTTGTGTCTAACAACTGGCAAGAAAATAAAGTACAAACCTGTGAGAGGTGACCTGAGTCAAAAATGGGTCATAAATGAGTATGGTCATTTGGTCTCAAGTCTCAACGGACTCGGAATCGAACGGACTGGTCTCAGAAACAAAAGTGCGCAATGCGGCAAGAGTGGAATGCATCTAACACTGAAGAAGAACGCTAGTTTTTTTTCATATAATTTATTTTAAAATCAACACCTCTTCAATTGTTTGTCTATAAAATATCGTATTTGTTCTTTCATCTTTCTTTTGTCAGCAAAATTCCAACTGGAAGTTTAGAAAAAATAAAAAAATTAAAATCTAACAATTAGGCATATTTTTTGCAAAATATGTCATATTTTTATTAGTTTGCTACGAAAATTTGATCCAGCGATTTAAAAATTTGAAAGGAAAGTATTTTTTAAAGTTAATTTAAATTGTGCCTTAGATTTAATGATACCTAAAGTGTGAACAAAAAAATTTAATTTTTTTGAACACATTACAGAATTAAATACGTTTTTTAAAATAATTTTCATGAATATGTTGAATGAAGCATTTGAAAACATTTCAAAAACATATTTCGATACGTACTTCTCCCTTTCAAACAATTATCAGATGAAAATGGCACATTTTCAACTATTTCGCACATTTCTGCTCCGTACGACCCGCAAAAGTTGTCAATGAGATGGAGGGCAGATCCTAGAGAGGAAACTATCATGAACAGCTGGCTGCGTTTGACTGTCCACTCCATGTTTGAAAAAAATTGTAAATTCCCTAAAATCAAGGTGAACAAATACAAAAAACCTATTGTCCACGCCCTGGCTGTTTTTCAATCTAGAAATTATAAAGACCTTTATTTAAGTGGTTGTCAACGAACCGAGAGGTGCCGGATGAAAAACGAGGATTTCAGGAAAGAATACTACAAAGAGTATGATTATTTTGAAAAATTGTGTCATATACAGAACTAATTTTAGTGTCAATTACGAACTATTGCCTATGGTTGATTTCTTTGAACGTAGTGGAAGTGTAACAGTACGTTAACCTATTTTTTCTGCTTTTGATTTTCTGGCCTTTTCTTTGGAACTTTTTACATACTTTTCTGACAACTTCTCCACCACTTACAAATTTTAGAGCTGATCTCAAGATCCATCTGTTTGCAAAAATCATTGAGGAGTGCTGTTGAACTTCGCGGAAAATAGTGCTTTATAAACTAATTGATTGATTGGTTGATTGATTGACTGGCCGACTGACTGACTGACTAACCGACCGACCGAGCGAACGACCAACCGATCGATCGATAGATCGATCGATTGATTGATTGATTTAACCTTTATCACGTGGGTCTAACAATCTTCCACCGTTACCATAGTACTTCTTACTCAATTTTTTCCAGTTTTCAATTTTTCGTACTGCTCTGCTTTGATTATGAATTCATCTTAACATATTGACCTGAAATTTATCTGTTGATTTCACAATTTTTATTAGAGAATCGGATTCTGTACGGATTAAAAACATTAGGAGGTTTAGTTTGCATAAATATATAGAAATTTTTACATAAACTTTTTGAATTTTTTCTTAAATGATTATTAATACCAAAGTTGAAAACATTTTTTAATTAACTTAATTTTTCACAGTCAATATGACTTTTTGATACCAGTGAAAAAGAATTCATCTCGTTATTTGACCGCTCTTTCTTCAAAACAACTTACGCTAGAAGAAGCAGGACAAAATAATGAATCCAACAATAAAACACAAAAATGGGTGTATAACAGTGACTGCTACATCGTGTCAAGATCTTGGGGATATGGAATTACATTACACAAAATCTTGTGCGTCTCGTGTAGCATAAATAAAGGTTAGCAAAAGATTTTTCCATATTCTATGCACATACGTACCAATCAAAACTTTGCATAAACTGTACGAAATGAAACAATTTTCAGAGTAGATAAATAACATACCGGCATATAAAGTGATCCTAGATAACTTCAATACTAACGACACAGCAATGAGATGGAAAGTGAATAACTACGAAGATATGGTGCTCATAAACAAAGCGGAAGACTTGACAATGATCTTTGAGGCTGACTCTGGAAAACCCATCTTGGCTGTACAGGGACTGCCGCCAGGGGGTGTCATTGGCCCTATCAATATCAACAATATTAACTATAATTCAAAATCTGATCCATGTTTTACAGCCCTCTCAAAAGAACGCAAAAAAAACGTCCGCTCAGATAGATTGATCTTCAATGTCAGATGTGAAATGCTCTTCAGACAACTATAATATAGAAGTTATATAATCTATCTTGAGAGCTCATGTTGTAATCGGTGCATGGATAAGTTATAACAAAATTATCTGTGGGTTTGTTAAATATTTACATGTGCACTTATTAATTCATATTAAAAATGTGACTTTTTAAATGTTGGTTCTATGTTATTTTCATTTTTATATTTATTCAAATCAATTTTCTATGGTGAGGTTAACATTTTTTGAAATTTTTGCCTTTGAATTATATTTTTGTTATTTTGCCTCATCGCAATAATATTGTCTGGAAGTTAATAAATAAATGGTTTAAATGCAAAAAAAATACTTTTTTTCATTTGAAACATAACCAGAGCAACTCTGTCAAAATTATGAAAATATAAATATATAATTATAAAGTATATTACTTTTAATTTATTTGTTTGAGTCTGTTACTTAAACACACACCCACACACAAACAAGTAAATTTGTTTTTTAAGCATAATTAGGAATGCAACTTCACAAGTAGACAGCTTTTCATGAAAGCTTTAAAGCATCATTACCTCAACGTTGTGCATCATGGAAAGCGCTTCTGAGGTCTCTTCAAGATAGGCGCTATACAAATTTTGATACTAATACTGAATTATAACCATGTTAACCTGATTTAGAAGAATTATATTCAAACCTTTTTTCAATCTTTCAACATTGGTTAATCCTAAATTATTTAAACATTTGAATTGTTGCTATCCTGTTCACTGGCGTAATGAGGGGGGGGGGGGGCAAAGGAGGACCGTTGTCCCCGGGCGCAGGGCTGGGGGGCACAATATCAGTGACCAAAATATCAGTGACCAAAAAGGTTTTTTTATTATTATTTTGCTTTACCTAGCAATTTCTGTGTCTGTCCTTTAGAACAGGTCAGTCACAGTGCAGTTAAAAGCTTGTATAGATTATGCTCTATAGTCTATAGTATAGTATCTTTGTGGTATAGCTGCATTGGGTTAGTCAGTATAGCTGCCTACAAATACCTGCTATTACCAGTGATGGGCATAGTTTAATTAAATAGTTGCAAACTAATAGTTTAACTACTTTTTTTTAGTTTCCTTCCTAGTTTAACTAAAAAAAATAGTTTAGTTAAAACGATAGTTTAACTAAAATATTTTAGTTGCTAACTAAATAGTTTAACTAAAATATTTTAGATAAATATCTTTTATCCATGTCTTGACTTATGGTTTTTGAATATTAATTTTAATTTGTAAAAAGTTAAGCTTTCCATATTTTTAAAGCAAAGTACATTCAATGTTTTTGGTTTATACCAATGTTTCGGACTGTTTGATGTCTTGTTTTGTTGACGCTGATGGTTGGTTAGTTGTTTAATCTTTAAAATTTGTTGCTGTTTTGTTAAAAATATTTTAATAAATACATTTATGTAATTGTCTATATTCAATATAGTTGGTTTTAAACACTAAATAATTTATTTGGCCTAAATTTTATGATGACAACTTATGTTAGTTAATGATTTTATTTTTAGCGCATTTTTGAAATGCAGCTTAATACTTCACTTTGAAAAGACATGTTTTGAATAGTTTGTTATGTTAGTATTAATGCCACTTTAGATCATGTCTGTAAAAAAGTAAATATAAAAATAGTTGCAAAATAGTTGGAAAAAGTTTAACTACTTTTTTTTTAGTTTAGTTAACTACTTTTTGAAAAAAGTTTATAACTATTAGTTTAACTACTTATTTTTAGTTAAAAAATAGTTATAGTTTAATTAAAAATATTTAGTTAGTTGCCCATCACTGCCCATCCCCTCCATATAAACGCCACTGAGCATTCACAGTAAACTGCTCAGGGATAAAATTAAGAAACTTGTATTAAAATTTACTAGAAAATTTAATTATTGTTAATTATATAAATAACTATTTATTAATATTGTGTATCCTATATAAAAGTTTTTCTTAATCCCAGATATGTTTGGAAAAAGGCCTAGTGGAGCTCAGCGAAGAAAAAGAAAGACAAATGAAACAAGAGAAGCTAGTAAGTCCAGCAAACTCCTGGATTGTTTTTTGAAGTAGGCAAAGTCAACACCAGAAGAAAGCCAACAGCCTCAGGATACTGATGTTGATGAATTCAATGATCAACCAAGTGTACAGCAGAATCAGCAAAACATAGAGAACAGTAGCAGTTTATCAACTTCATCTAACTCTGAAGTAGAAGAAGAAAATGATATCATTTCTCATAGACCAAATCCAATTCCAGCTGTGCTTATGTTTGGGGATGTTGGCTATTTGGATTTCGACCAAACGTCACAATTGCCTATAATTTCTCAACAGCTCTGCACAGAAATGGTATCTCGAGGCTTTAATGTATTTCAAAATAATAATGGTCCATTTGCTAAGAAAGACGGCCGTTCTATGACGAAGCCATGGTTCAAGCGGAGACTTGCCAATGGAAAGGAAGATGAGGTGAATCGGGTCTGGCTAGTTTATTCACCATTAAATGAAGCAGTGTATTGTTTTTGCTGCTTGTTATTTCCCTCATCGAGTGCAAATAATAAATCATCTTTTGAATTACCTAATGGATTCAGCAAGTGGAGGAAGCCAGAGAAACTAGCGGCTCACGAGAACAATCCTTTCCACCGGAAATCATTTAATGCATGGAAAGAAGCAGAGCGCAGATTGATTCAAGGGAAAACAATCGATGCATCTCTTGAAGCTGAAATTCAGTCAGAGGTTGCACGATGGCGAGATGTTTTGAAGCGAATACTAAATTGTATAAAATTCTTGGCCACTCAAAACTTGGCATTGCGTGGACATATTGAGAAACTTGATGCCACAGGAGACAAAAATGTAGGAAACTTTTTGTCTGTTCTTCAACTTCTAGCTCAGTATGACCCAATTTTGCAGTCACACTTTGACCATGCTAGAAAGAATCCAGGATCTGTTACATATTTATCTCCAGAAATTCAGAATGAGTTCATCAGCATTCTTGCTTCGAATGTGAGAAATCAATTGTTGATTAACATCAGAAAAAATAAATACTACGGGATTTTGTTTGATTCAACTCCTGACTTGGCACAGAGGGAGCAAATGTCTGAAGTTATCAGGTATGTTGACATAAATTTTGATAAGAGGGAGGTTGTAATAAAAGAGTCATTTCTTGGCTACATCGAAATTCATGGAAAAGATGCAGCCTCGATTGAAGATGTTATCGTAAAAAGATTGGAATCTGACAACATCCCGTTACAAAATTGTAGATCTCAATGCTATGACAATGCAGCTGTTATGTCGGGGCATTTATCTGGAGTTCAGCAAAGAATTTGCACAAAAAATAACAAGGCATTGTTTGTGAATTGTGACAATCACAGCTTAAACTTGTCAGGGGTGCATGCTGCAAGTCAAGATCCAATTGTAGTTACTTTTTTTGGCACCATTGAAAAAATTTATCTATTCTTTTCAAGATCAACCCATCGATGGGAAAAACTTAAAGAAGCAGTGACCGTCACAGTCAAACGTGAATCAGAAACACGATGGAGTGCTAGAGCAGAATGTGTTAAAGCAATTCATGATGGACTTGATAACATAGTCAGTCTACTGGAAAAAATGTCTGAAGATACAACTGAAACACAAGAAACTAGAGGCGATGCTGTAATTCTGCTACAAAGTATTCTTAGTTTCAACTTCTTAGTTTTCCTTCCTTTCTGGCATGACATACTCAAAAAAATCGACCGTGTTCAGAAAAGACTTCAAGATCCAACAATGAATTTCCATGAAGCGTCTTTGGATATTGAATCTCTGCACAAGCAAAGGAAAAATGTGAGCTATGGGGTGTGGCTGTAGAAAGTAGAATCAGGCGACGGAGAAGGATGCCTGGAGAACTTGCCCGAGATGCAGGACTTTCGGCAGAAGAAGAAATTGTTCGTATCATGAAGAGTATTTTAGATCGACTCGAACAGGAAATGACAACAAGGTTTACTCGTCTCAAAGATCTGAACTTCAAATTCGGATTCTTACTTGGTGTAGACAAACTTTTGAATGACAAAGATCTTAACAGTCTCCGTCAGCATTGTATTGACTTTGGAAATTTTTATGACTCGGATGTTGAAGGAATTGAGTTATTAAATGAAATATGTGACTGCAGAATGCTCCTTGAGACCCGCCAGGATACTGCACCAAAGACTCCTACAGAACTCTTGTCATTTATTATTAGTTACGGAGAAGATGTTTTTCCAAATTTGCGTGTTGCTCTACAAATCCTTCTTACTATAGCTGTCTCGATTGCCAGCTGTGGGCGATCCTTCAGTAAATTAAAAATAATTCTTTCCTATCTTCGAGCATCCATGGAACAAGATAGATTCAGCGATCTGGCCCTAATGAGTGTGGAGAGGGAAGTTCTTGAACAGATTGATTTTGATGATATAATTAACCAGTTTGCTGCAGTAAAAGCAAGAAAAATAAATTTTCTTTAAAATTCTGCTCATTTCCTAACCACAATTTCTAGACAATACTTAGCTGTTGTTTTGTTTTTAAATTTAATAATTTTTATTTCACACTTCTGACTCAGCGGACAATAAAAATACAGAATTATAAAAACTACTTGAAAGAATCTAATTATCTACATCAATCATAATCATTTTTTTTAATCATAATAATTTTTTTTTGCCAAATAAATGATTAAATGATAATCATTAATATTTTGTATTACAATATAATAGTTAAGAACTGAGAAAGAATAATACAATTATGGTGTAAGGTGCAATATGCATATAGAAACATGAATACACTGAAATGCATTGTATATAGGCGTCACGGAGTGTAGCCTACTTCAAATACTGAGTACGAGAGTTATATTTTATATAGTTTGACAGATTTTATGTAGGGGGCGCAAATTTTTTGTTTTGTCCCCGGGCGCAGAAGACCCTAGCTACGCCACTGATCCTGTTTCTCAACAACTATAAATAATATTTGATCTGGTTTTCTCGGTCACTTTTGTTACTCTAATTTGAACTATTTTTCTAGCTCGATTTGTGGCATGTTTGGATGTTGGTCAGTTGTAATGAATCAGAAAAAAGAATCAAAAACACTAACAAATCTAAATTCAATTTCTATCCTTTTGGAGAGGGCATCGTAAACTATTCCATGGAAATGCTCTATTAAAAATTTACTGTAACTTTCAAGGTTAAGATATGAAAAATTCTATCAAATGTAAGCATTTCTACCACCGTTGTTACCTTAAATTTGTTTACAATTTTTAGATTTTATTGTTTGCCATTTTTATTACTTCTTTGTGTTTCTACACAACTTGCTATTATAACTTACTACCTTTGACAACTATCTTGGAAGCTAAAGCCATAAAATTAGAACTGTTTACAATCTGCAAAAAAGTTTGTTGTAAATATTTATTGTATAATTTTTCTTTTTATGAAAAATAAATCACATTCGGTTCTCTATTTTGAAAATGAATAAATTATATTTCTGAAAAAATTGAATTGAGAAAATATATTTACAACGTGTTTCAAAACTGTTCTTACTTCTGGCAGAGGCGTGTCCGAACAAGGCTTTAGGCTTGCAATCTTTTAAATTTTTTATCGGAGGTTAATGAAAAATTCTTACATCTTCTATCAAAACATTGAAATTTGAATCTCGAAAAACACCAATGTTAATATGAAAGTTGATGAAATACAATGCGAAATCTACAACACTCCCGGCTGAAAACTTGTGGCAAGGTCACAACCGGCAGTTTGGTTCATAAATACAACTGGTTAAAATTTTGCTGAAACTCTTTTAAAACAATTTGTTGTTTGCATAAGCATGAAAGAGGATAGATAGTTCATCAGAATATCAGAAATAAATGAAGCTATTTAAGGAATGCTGAGTCGAAAAAATACTTCAACCACCCAGTGGTTAAACGTTAAAAGTTACTTGGAAATGTTTAAAAAACCTTGCACACAATTTTTATAACACGTTTGAACGTTAAAAAAACACTTTGTCATTTGTTATTAAGTATGTGATGCTGATAGACTTTGAAACGTGTGTGGTTCTAAAGAAAAAATGAAATGAAAACAAGGTAAAGTGTTTAAAACGAGCCGATAATGAAATGAATTATTTATTTGATTGGAATTGTTTATTAAATTACAAAAATTTTTAAACTAGTGAGCTCTATTTTTTTTAATTAATTTACTTGTTTTTATTGAAATCTCGGTAAACGTTTCAAACAAAAAACTAACTCTTTTTTCAAATTACCTACATATAAAAGGAGGCTAATTGGTTAGTGCATTTGTTTTGTAAAATTATTATTTAACAAAATGGTATGAAATCAGATAAAAATTTATTTGATATTTGAAAATATTGATTTTGTATTATATTACTTTAATGAATTGTTTTTAAAAATGACAGACATAACTGTGAAGAGTTCAGAATGTACAAAAATTTGTTGCTGGTTATAACGGCGTTTTCAGTTGGAAGCGCGGTTTTCTGGCAGCAAAAAGGGTTAGAAAGACTATTATTGTTTGTAAAATGTTATTTCATTCCATGATATCATATCTAGAGTTGCCTATATTTTAGAAATTAAAATATTAAAAATGTAATGTTACCTTTTGGTATTTAAAAAAAACGTTAAATATTTGAGGGTAGTCTTCTTTCTCATTCATCATTGCGCCACATAATGAAATAAAAAGTGATTTTTAGAATTGGCAAAAATAATATCATCAAAATGAAAAACATTTTTTAATTCGATTTGTACAGTAATTTCACATTCCAGCTCTGCCGTGAAGATGTAAAATGTTTAGGTATAGATAAAACCACAAAATCAGTAGTAATTGCTGATGCTAACAAAGAGAACAATGTACACTATTTGTGGAAACTAAACGAGCAGGGTTTATTGGTTTCCACATTAGCTAACAACAGTTTAGGCTTGGATATTAGTTTACCAGCTTCTTGCATTGGATCGAAACTTTTTTATTATGACACGATCCCAGTTTACAACCTTCAAGCGAAACAGTATGACGTTAGGACAAAAACTCAAAAATGGATTTTAGTTGTCAATAAAACGACATCAGATTACAATCTTACGAGAATTATCAATGAAGAAATCAATTCAACAATTTTTATCGGCAACGAAGAACCTTCCAAAGCAATGGTCATCACCGAAATTGTCAAAACAGAAACAAACATTAGCCTGAATTTTTACGATAACACGCAGATATGTGGTGAGGCAGTAGCCTTTTTTGAACGCAAACGTCTTGGGTAATGTTTAGATTGATATTAAAGTATTTTTATTTTAAACATTTGATCAAAAATAGTTTTTGAAAAATTGAACGCATCAGGTATTTCCTAAACAAAACGTACACATTCTGTCGTAACATATCTAGTATACCACACACAATGTGTTTAACAAGCGGAACGAAAATTGAATTCAAACCAGAAAACGGAAATTTGAGCCAGCAGTGGGTTTACAACGAGTATGGATATTTGGTCTCCAGTTTAAATGGATTTGGGATAGATATTGATTGGGAGTACTCGTACAAATGCGGAAAAAATGATGATAGTCTTATGGATCAAGGTCGGTTTGGTCGGAATATTTTGACTAATTTATATTTTTTCAGATTTATTTCCACTATAACATGTATTGCTATCTTTAAATAATATTTAACTGAAAAATATGTTTTTTATGAAATTAAATTTTAAGAAATTTTATTTTTTATACAGACAAAAAGGAAGAAAAGGCAGTTGTAGGACTTGTTTCAACTCCGTTTGTAGATGGCAAGGGAACGATGAGGTGGAGAGTAGACAGTACAGAGAGCACAATCACAAACTATCCAGGTTATCTGATAGTACATCACCTCTTCCAGAAACGTTGTGGAACTGATTCTTACAAGTTGGACAGCAGCAGCAGAAACGCTTTTCAAACTGTCGCTATATACGAGTGGAATCGAAATTCTCTCTACTTGGATGACTGTCCGCGGAGCTTTGATTGCCAATTGAGTATAACAAGCTTCAGAGATAATCGTTTTGAAAAGTTTGTAGTTATGAGAGAAACTTTACAAAAAAATTTTTAATTTAAAATTTTTATTGGTTCTATTAATTTTTTTTGTTTCCTTACTCTTCATCTATTACTCTGAGCGGATTTCTGTTTAAACCTCGCAACTGATTAAGACAATAATTTTTCAAAATAATAGTTCTTTTCTTTCACCCCAGTAATGCTGGCTTTAGGATTTGTGAAAAGAAGACACCAATGTGTCTGAAATCAATTTTTATGTCAGAACTACAGCTAACAACCAGAGACACAAACCCCAGAATAACAAGTGACCAGTTGTGGGAATACAATGACTACGGTTTCATAAATAAATACCAGTCCACTGACGGTATTGGGTTGAGTAGAGATTTGGTGTGCGTTACATATACTAAAAATCAAGGTAAGCATATTCAAATTATATGGTTTTTAGTAATATTTTGAGATATTTTGTTAAAAAATAATTCAGTTACCGTAGCGAATGTACCTGCCTATAAAGTAGTTTTGAAAGTTTTTGAATTGGAAAAAAAGTCCATGAGATGGAAATTAGAAAACTTTAACGATGGCAAACTTGTGAATGTGGAAGTGAACTTGACAATTCTTCTGAGAGTTCATCCATCCACCCCTGTACTAGCCATACACGGCATGTTGTCAGATGGACTAAATGTTACCAGCATTGATCATAACTTAGAAACTAGCTCGTGCTTTGAAAACGTTGTTGCCTACGAGAATACATATTTAAGGTTGATTTTGTTATTTCATGGTTTTTATTTCATCTTATTAAAAATTTCAACATTTAATTCGCTAAAGTAATGAGAAAATCATGTTTATGTGGTGCTCCCAGCCTCTGGTTAACAGAACATACGGCTCTCTAAACTGTTTAACCTGCAAAGAAAACGAACTGGCTTTTGAGAATAAAACTGAGCTGCCTAATCAATTTTGGTTCCGAAACCAGCATGGCTATTTGGTCTCACGGGACAATGAGAATGGTATAGACCTCGTCAATCACACAATGCCTATATGCGGAAGAATTAGGAAAGACAACACTTCCAGTTGGTTCAAATTTTTAACAAAGATATGTTTGATTTTCAATTGTTTTGAAATAATTAATATTTAATTCAATCTGTCTGTCTCACAATTTTTTCAATTTTCAGACTTTATTAACGTTGTCGGTTTCCAGCTGATTCCCGCTAGGTTTGATATAAATAAGAAAACCATGTTGTGGAGTGATTTGGGATCTTCGGTTCGCATAGTGAACAGGAAGTTGAACTTACAATTGCACATAGCAAAGTTTGAAAATTGCACTCCAAGAATTAATAGTTCAGCCTCCTTTATTGGAATATTTGGTGTGGATAAAAGATTTTTGAATGATGCTTTCAGCTGTACCGATATTGAACTGTGCAAAAACGATTTAGAGAGTTTCAATAGTCGTTTAAATAATTGAACTTTGTAGCAATTAATATTTATGATCTTTCAAAATATATTGCTTTAATTTCAATTCATGGACAAAACACTTATTTACCAATTAAACGATAATTAAAATGAACCTACCCAGATACTATTTTTATTTTTAGATTTGAATAACTATACCAGATTATCATAAAAATATTTTGTCGGCTCAAAGTCAAAATATAAATAATGTCGAGTTTGCAAATAACTAATACATTAAAAATAAATATAAAAAAATTATAAAATAATCTATTGAAAAATGTTAGTTGGTTGAAATGCTTGAGTAATCTGTAAGAAAAATTTCAGTTTTGCGTTAAAACAGAGGTGGGCATACTACGGCCCGCTATTTTGTGGTCCGCCAAAAAAAAGGACGTCTGCCAGAAATTATGACCAAAAAAAGAACCACAAATCTTACTTAAAAAAATTCTTCCCCGGGTCGAAAAAATTTGCTATTTAAGAACATAGGTAAAAGGTAAAATAGCTATCAATGCGGCCCTCACAGCAAAATGTTTGCCCATCTCTGCGTTAAAATAAAGTCAGTTTTTTGTTTTTTTTTATACTGCACGAAGTGAAGTCGTTATTTATTATAATCAAATCGTTGTCAAAAAAAAGTTGAGCATGTTTGATATAAAGCAGAAGTCAATGTATATAAGCGTTCAAGTCATTGGCCTTAAAACTGCTTGAGGTGCCTGAATTGAGACAAAAACTCCATTGGAAGAGGGAATATTATGGTCGAGTTTTTTTCTTCCGCTACGGTGCATAGTGTTTGTAAGTATCTGGAAATTATTTGGAATATGTTTGTTATTTAGATTGAGTTATGAAATTTTAAAAACATTTGTCAAAGATCAATACAATTTAACCTACAATAATCACAACAAAATTCTGAAATTTTATTGAAATTAGTATAAACATTCATTCTAAATTGAAACACAAGAAAATTTAGACACCTCGATGTAGAAAACTGAACGTTTATTTATATAAATTGAATAAAACATCAACCTTAGTTGCAATGCGGAAGGTGATTGACTCAGCATGTCTGCAGCTTCTTTCAGGGCCAGCGAAGCTTGTTGTTCTCCTTCAGCTGCGATTATCTAGAAAGCAAATTTTTTCAAATTTTAAAATTATGAAAATGGTTCTTTTTTAAAACGAATAGCAAGTAAATGGTAGCTATAGTTAAATGGTAATGATAAATGATAACTATAGGCAACTAAATAGTGAATAGAATGTTGAAATACGTAATAGTGATTGGTATGTTAGAAGGCTGTGGTTTCTTTAGAAAAAAAAGAATGAAAATTATTGAAAATTATTTGTTCAGAGCCGTTTATCAATTTATATGACATTAATGTTTAGATTTCGAATGAATAACTTTTCAGTTTGAGTGTTCGATTTTTTTCACCTTAGCTCTTGCATTTCTCGTGGCTTCTGCTTCGGTCGCCATAGCTCTCTGCATTGACATGGGCAGACGAACATCTTTTCTTTAAAAAAAGAAAAAAAATGAAACTTATTGGAAGTTATTTGTGAAGTGCAATAAAAAAACTGTAGCGGCAAAGTTGTTTAACGCGAAAAAAGTTGAACTAATGTAGAAAAAATCAGTGAACTAACAGCTCTACCCTTTCTACGTTAACGCCCCATCTAGTTGAAACTTCTCCCAGATGTTCCTGGGAGGGTGTAAAGTTAATTTTCAAAATATTTTTTTTTTCTTGAGGCGATTGAAATGACTTTTATTTAAAAAAAACCAACTTGAATATCGCGTGAAATCGATTCCCTCTCTGATAAAATCTGAGTTAAAGTTTTTATACCAAGAGTGTTTCGCAGGGTCGTCTGGGCCAAGAGTTGAGTTGACATTCCGACATCGTTTACATTATTAACCTTTAGAAAAAGTTTATTTATTTTAAATAATGTTAGAAATCAAAGAAATAATTCTTTTTTTTTAAGTTTTCGTTTGATATTTTAAAATCCAAGCCAAATAATTTGACTATTTTTTCGTAAAAATTTATAGAAGGTTTTTAACTCTAACCGAATCGGTAGCATTTTGAATCCTATAGAAGACCACAGCATCTACTGCAATTGTTACTGAATCTCTGGTAAGGACCTTTTTAACATTTGTGTGTAGGTATGAACTTGAGATAAATTGAAACTTGCTAGGCGATTATTCAATTTATTAAAGTTTGAGATTTCAAAAAAAATGTGATAGTCCTTCAGATTTTACACATTAAGAACAGTTTTGTAGAAAGAATTTTCAGTTGTAAGGTATGAGTTTTTGTGAAAAAAATGGCGATCATATAAATTTCTCTGATTCCAAATTCTTACACCGAAACCACCATTATTTTAAGATTTATTACAAACATTAACCAAACGTCACCCCAAGCCTAACTAATCCTTCCATTGCATTTGAAAACTGAAATCCAAAAATCCCAACAAACGATTATTAAAAAATAATAATAACAACAAAATAAATTATTATTGCCTTGTGTATAATTTATCAATGATGATGACAAAAACCTGACGGAAAAGATGATGATATAAATGATTGTAATGATGACAATGATGACATTTAGAGGTGAGTTTTAGTTAGCCCAAAAGACCAGGCGAACCCTACAACTTGGCTACACCTGTGTTTCTAAATAAAACTTCAATGCAACCTCTTGCGGGGGTATGTTGTACGAGATGGTTCGCATGTCAATTTTCTGGCATGAATCAACACAAGGCAGAATGAAGAAGAGTCCTAGCATTTTTTCAATAATTATTTCGGTTTTTTAATAAATAATTAAATAATTCTACAAATTTTACCAATAATGCTGAAACAACTTGTGCAACCAAATGACTCATACAATTAGTAGAAGTGATAGTAATAGTATGGTAGTAGTAGTGGTAGCAGCAGCAGTAGTAGTCTTAATAGCTTCAGTATCAGTAGCAGTAGCTTTTATCTTCAAATAATATTATTAATTATTGTCTAAGTAATTTCAACTTCGTTCTCTGAATAACGAATAGAATATTTCAAATTAAACTTCCAACCTGGACCTTTGGCTCCGCCAGATCCAAGTTTACCTAATCTATAGATGACAGCTCGTTCGTATTGCTGAACAACCTAAAAAAAATCTTTGCAAAATCAAATAAATGAATTGAATAAACTAATTTTTGAAATTAATTTCGAATTATAGATATAAAAACGTTGATAATTTTATTAGGTTTTTATAAAATGCTTGAAGTTTTTATAAAAATGCTAATTGGATTGGTAAGAAATAGTACCAAAAGTCTTTTACGATAAATAAATCAACGTTAACTTTTTCAAATTCTAAAATTAAAAAAAATTAATACCAAAAAGTAAGCACCTTGATGCAAAAGAACAAGGAGAATGGGGCAAAGATGAAGACAAGGAAATAGGAAAAGAAGATAATGACGTAGCCACACAAGCTGCCACACAGACTGCTGCTACCTTCAACTTTTCCAGGGCCACTATTCTCATAGCGAACTTGGGGTGGTGGCCGGTTTGTATACAAATTATTCGGAGCCATCTGTGAACCTGTATGGAGGTTTGTGGTGGTAGTTGGTGGTGGTAGCTAGTGGTGGCTTTTGGTGGTCGGTGGTTGTAGTTTTTGGTGGTTATTGGTGGTTGGTGGCGGTAGCTTGTTGTGGTTTATGGTGGCGATTGAGTGGAGTAGATAACAAAATAGTTTTTTTGCAACTTAACAAAAATGAAAACTCGGATTTTCAGATGTGATGTGAATAAAAGCTTTGCGTGTTAAAATGTGACCATTTTGACACGAGATAACGAAATAGCTAAAACTGGAGACCTCACCTCTGCCTTGATTGTTCATGATTCTGATCGATGGATAAAAATTAACAAGACAAGAAAACCAAATCTGCTGAAAAAGTACCCCAAATTTCAAAGCAATCTCACTTTTGTATTTATCGATGTGTTTATATTTATTATAAAGTTCAGTAATTGTCATTATATATAGTATATACATATATATATATATGAATGTGTGTGCGTGTGTGTGTGTATGTGTGCGTGTATGTGTGCGTGTATGTATTTATATATATCCTTACCCAGTGTGTATGTGCCATTTGCATTTTCACGCTGGCTAGGAAATAACGCGTGTATTTTACATTCACACATTCTTTACAATATCATTCTCATTATTTGCGCTGTTATTCTTGTTATTCATTATTATTCTCTTTATTGTTGTTATTTTTGATAAAAAAAAAGTTGATAAAGTTGAAGTAGAAATATGGAAACCCATGGCCCGCTTTATGATTTACGAACAGTTTTATCGGTTATTGTATAAATTAATATTGTTGTTATGAATAATAATAATAATAATAATAATAATAATAATAATAATAATAATAATAATAAAATAATGATAAAAATAATATATTACCGTCGAGCCAGACTTATTCTCGACTCAACTCAATGCCGAAAATAAGATTCAAGCCATCAGCAGCTTGGCCGTGCCACTCCCATAATAGAGTTTTAGAATCGTTAACTGGAGAAATAGGAAATAATCTACACTGGTTAATCTTGAAAGAACTTGCTCAAAATGTGCCTGACAGCTGGTACGATCACCAACCAGCCTGAGAATGTTGTCGAGTTTGACGAAAATAACAATACTATGGATAATTGATTTTATCATGTTTATTGTTGAAATACAACGCTTATGTAATAAAAAAAGGTAGGCAATCGATCTAAAAATCCACACACACACACACACACACACACACACACACACACACACACACACACATCTGCTGCAGCTAGCAATCACAATTGTAAATATTGTAAATAAATAAATATAATAAAAATATAATATTATATATGTGTGTGTGTTTGTGCGTGTGTGTGTGTTTGTGCGTGTTGTTAAGACTGCTGTTTATGGCTGAGAGGGCAATAAACAAAATTTGAAAATTTCAATTCACTACTGTGTTGCTGTGTACTAGTTTTCGTTATTAGTGTTAACAATTCAAGCTTTTAAAAACAACGTGTGTGTGTGGTGTGTATATGTGTATGCGAGTGTGTGTGTGTGTGTGAGGTATGTGTGTGTCAAATCAAATCAAATCAAATCACTTTTATTCAATCAAACAAAACAAAAGCATGAATGATTCGGAGACCAAAAAAAGAAAATTAATTCTTGTGGGCTCGGCCACCGTGCAGCTCAAAATTGCTTCTCAATGATAAAATAAAATTGTCAATAGGAGAAAATGTATCAATGTTAATGAAATATGTACACACTTATATACATATATATACATATACATTATTATCCTTGAAAAACAGAACTTTTCGTAATTAAAAAATTTTTCAGTTTATTTTTAAAAAGATGCAAAGTGTTACAATCTTTAATTTCTTGTGGAATCGTCTCCCATATTCTTGGGCCGGTGTGTTTCAAACTCATGCAGAGTACTTTAATTCTGGCTGGTGGAGCATAGAAAAGTGGCGTGTGGCGTGTTGTTCTTGCTTGAATGGAAGTTCCAAAAGTGAAAAAGTTTCTAAAAAATGCCGGCAACTGCTGACGTAGAAATCTAAAAATGAATGTTGCAACGTGGTAGATGAACAAGTTTTTGATGTTGAGTATTTTCATCTCGAGATAATATTCACTTGTGTGACAATGAGGATGAAGATTTTTAAATATTCTGATGAATCGGTTTTGGCATTTTGTTAACTGTTTTAGATGATGTC